AGGAGCAGCTTCTGCAGGAGGAGCTTTGGTTCCCCAGGTAGAGATTTTGGCCCTTAGAGTTACAGTCCAAAAACTAAAGTTTAGTTTAAAACTAGGGTTCACTCCTGTGGTTCACAAAGAAAAGATGGAGGATGCAGGTGATGTTGCTCCCTGGAGCTGGAGCTATGAGAACAGATCCTTTCATCTGAGCTTCTTAAAACTGAGAGGGGACTGCTGAAATATCCTTCTTGTAGCTTTAGCAGGAACGTTCAACTTGTGTGTTTTATTTCCACTGTCCAATGTGTTTTGTTGTGCCTTGGGAATGCCAAAAGCCCCATCTACCAGAGCACCTGTCCAAAAATCAAAAGCTCCTGCTTTCTTGCTGCTTTGACATTCTCTACAGTGCATCAGCATGTGCCCAATATCTATTATTTAGGATCCTGCTGCGCAAAATATCTCCCAGAGCCAGAGCCGCTGCCTTGCCTTGCATCTTTTTTAAGAAATCAGTTCAATTAAAACTTCCCATTTTTCATTCCACTGACGTTGATAGAACTAGAGGCTCTACTAAAGCTGAAGTCCGTTTTGTCTCCTTCTTTTGAGAATGATGCATTTAAAATATATTTTTATGTTTCCTGCTGCACAAAATAACTCCCAGAGCCAGAGCCGCTGCCTTGCCTGTAGCATCTTTTTTAAGAAATCAATTCAATTAAAACTTCCCATTTTTCATTCCACTGACGTTGATAGAACTAGAGGCTCTACTAAAGCTGAAGTCCGTTTTGTCTCCTTCTTTTGAGAATGATGCATTTAAAATATATTTTTATGTTGTATCTGTGTTTATCCATTAGAAAAGAAATATGTCTAAATCTGTCATATAGTGGTTTGTTGGGTTATTAAGTTACTTTCTGCTGGGTTTATTTCAAAACTCACCTAAAGGGACCGTAGGTGATGTGAACTCTTGTTTGTGCTTCATGCTTCAATGCTTAAAACATTATTTCCACTCATGAGCTGATGGAGGAAAGGCCAGCAGCTGACCGTGTGTGGTGGAGTGAACGGTCAGGCAAGCCAGCAGTACTTCATCTTCTGATAGGTGCTCCTTGGTGCTCCTTGTAGCGTCTTCCTTGACAAAGGTGGGGAAATACGACTGTTCTTCACGTGTCTCCTTCAGAAGGATTATCTGCCACTGTACTTAATGTGCCCGTGCCACAAGTGACGTGCCCAGGAAGGAATCAAACTGGAAATAATTCCAGTAGGTAGGTCCCCTGGGCATCCCGTGAAGCTGCCTGCCTCTGTTAATGTCGCTAGTGTTGGGGTCCGGGCTGCGTGCCGCTGCAGTGCCGGTGGGGAGAGGAGCCGTGCTCAGCCCCGGCCCTGTCACGCAGCCCGAACCCGGCGTCCCTCGGCGCTGCTTCTCCTGGTGTTCAGCCCTGCTCGCAGCACCCTTCGCAGCAGGCTGTGGAGCAGCCTCTCACGTCAGCGGTGACTCCGCTGACACCAGGCCTGGGGAGCGGAGGGCTTGACCTGATGTGGAGGAAAAACTTGCGTCCGCATGGGCGCTTGGAGCTGGTAAACCAGGCCGTGACCTTCAAGGCCCTTTCAAAGCCCAAGGTCACAAAGGAAAGGTGTCCTAATCACCCAAAGACAGACCAAATCATTAAGCCTGTAGACAACCTCAGGGATCCAAGTCCTCCCAGGTCTCACTGAGGACGTGTCCACCTCACACAGCTTTTCTGCAGCTCCAGAGAAGAGCTCCCAGGCAGTGTACGTGCTGCATCCCATGAGGGCTGAGGTCATGAAACCACCCCAGCCCCTGGCCCAGGACCTTGGCCTCACCAGGTGTCCTTGAGCAAACAGCACCTTCTGCCAGCCCCACTGCTGCTGTGCAGCGAGGATGGCTTTCATCACCTCCCTCGCCTTTTCCCCGTGGCAGCCCATGGAGCGATCCCAGATCCTTGTAACCTGCCCGTGTGTGTGGGATGGCTTGAAGGACCTGATACAAAGTGCTGCACATGGTGTCACTGCGTTGTGACTGGGACCGCCAGAGCAAGCGTTGCTGTCAGGCAGGACCTGGAGACGTTAGGCATGGGACTGTTCTCTGATAATGTCCTCTTGAATGTGGGGAGAGAATATCCAAGACCTTATTCTATAGAAGTTGTGAGATCTGGGACTTTTTGGATCCGTGTCCCATGGTGCTGTGCTCGTAGGAGGGCAGGGGAAGGAAAATGCGTGGCAATAAGAGAGCTGGAGGGATGTGCCCTGGTGCCACACCTCTGTCACGTTGCAGAGGTACCAGGCCTCCTCTCTATGTTGCATCCCTTCATTTGCTCCATTCCTCCTGCCCGGAGACGCTGGGACCCATCAGGACCCCACCTCTGGTGCCTCTGCTGAGTCTTGCCGGCTGTATGCCAGGTCTCCATCCCCCTTCCTCTGAAAAACGAGCAGGGAGTAACCGCCTGGTTCCCGGTGCTGTCCTTGGGGTCCACCTCACACCTGGAGGGCGCTGCCATGACACAGGGACTTGCCCATGCCCACACCAGCCCTGGAGCTGCACACATCGGGTGTGGGAGGAGGGAGCTGATCACGCTGAGCAGCCACTCCCTGACACAGAGGGAGCTTGGGGAGCCCACCTCTCTTGGGAGGT